AAGATCCTTGGGATCTTTCCCATCGACGGTGCAACCCACGGAGACGCACGTGCCGAGGATCTCCTTCACGGTTCCGCTCAGATCCTTCGCCATGGATCTCGGTCGCATCACCTTCGCTATCTCGATAACATCGTCGAGAGAGATGTCGCCGTTGTGTTTGATGTTCTTCGTTTTCTTCCGGTCACGTTCCGGCTCCTTGAGTGCTTTGATGACCAGAGCCGCCGCAGAAGGAACCACCGTGACCTTCGCCTGTCTGTTCTGAACGGTGAGCTTGACCGTAACTCGAAGACCTTTCCATTCCTTCGCCGTCTCCTTTGCGATATCTTCTCCGATCTTCTTCGGGGAGAGACCCAGAGGTCCAATCTTCGGCGCCAGTGAACTCGCCGCCCCCACCTCTCCTCCGGTAACCCGTACGAACACTTCCACTACTTGCGATGGATCGAATTTCGGCGGCATCTTCCTCGCTCTTGGTTTCTAGGGTTTCTTCTTCACAGACACGGGAAGAAGTTAGTAGACCCAGAGTTAGGGTTTTGTGTTAAAGTACGTTTTTCCCCCCCCCCCCCTCCCGGGAGACCGGCCTCCAAACCATGTTGTAGACCCGGTTCGGTATATTTTCGGTTTAGTTTGGTTTCGACATCATTCGTTCGGTTTAGTTTTGCTTGAACTTTAAAACTTACGGACCGTATATAAATGGAATTTGATTAGGTTTTCCTCGGTTACTTTATTTATTCTTTTGGTTTGGACACCGTTCGGTTTGCGACAAACAGGTTTTTAAAATACAAACCGAACTAAAACCAGAATGCAATCGATTTGGTATTAATTTATTAAGTCGAGAAATACAAATGGGCTCTTACCCAATACAAATATCGTTTCTGAGCCTAAATAAAGATGGTCCATAATTGTATGTTCTGTAAATTGTAATTACTAATAATGGGTCTCTCTAAGCCCAATATTCCTCCAAAGGTTTTGTCCCTTTTTATACTATTATACTTTTATATATTATGTTTCATTATCAATAGCGTATGAAGGAAATTTTTTTATTTGTTGGTATTTTTTTAGAGTTTTCGGATTTTTTTCTTATGTTCAAATTTGAAAGAAAAAAGATCTCCTCATGCTATTTAATACATAATTTTTCACCATTTGAGTAGATGGAGTATTGAAATTTCATGGCATCATCAAAGATAATGTACTTTGTGGGTTGAAAGCATTGAAGGAGATGATGGGTGTGTAAGTGGATGGATAAATCAATCAAAGCTCAAAGCATGCGAGGAGGAGATAATGCCACACATGACACATGTATATATATATATATGCCCATACACGTACACAATACATAATGCATTTCTCCTTCCTTGTATATCGAATTGTCTAACATATATATAAATACATACATATATGTTACTTAGTACGATCTTTAAAAAAAAATTTGGAAACACTTTGAATTCGAAAATTTAGTACGTAGAAAAAAGATGGATTGGATACTTCACAAAAATAGTAAATCAGAAATTTTTAAAAAAAAATTAGTACGCTTCACCAACTTTAATTCATTAACGTTCCTCCGTATATATATATATATCAAATTAAAATGCAAATCTCATTTGAAAATGAATGAAAGCTAATTATTTTCCTCAATGTTCAACTTACTTTATATCTCAACTAAACTATAGTATTCGTTTACTCGTCGGTACAACCAACCAGATGAAATTTAAATATATATGTATATATATTATTCCACATCTCATCTTGTCGGTATCGCATTTACTTTACTTACTATTTTATTTGATTTCACCTCGTAACTTTATGGAATGGATAATATGATTGGACTGACCTTATTTTATATATAGTTTTTTTTTTTGTAATAAAGACACTTTAACATCATCACTGCACAGTGTTTGAACTTTATATTTTTCTAATCATATATTCTACTTTGATTTATAAATATAAATGTAACGGGGATGTGCCCACCATGTCGACACCTCCTTTCAAATCAGCAATAATGTTTCTGCCCATAGATAACGAAATATGTAAATATTTGTGTAAATATAACATTTGAGAATATATACACACACTACATTTTATATGATTCTGAATTTTGCAATGTTAATATTATTAATAAATTTGCAAGGATGTTAAATCTGGATTTGTTTATTTGGCCGCTATAATGATAGAGATTAGGTTTTAAACATGTCTCAAAGTACATTTTTTAAGTTAAAACAATAAAAGATCACCCCTCCCAACATCATAAAAATTTATAAAAATAAATCTAAACATAACTAAAAATTGAACAAAACCAATATTTTTTTGTCATAAAATATACATTTTTAAATTGAAACTTAATTCAAATGAAAACTAAACTTAATACAGAAATTAAAATATCTATCATTTATAAATTTATGTTTTTTTAAATATCATAATTTCTTTAATCGATAAAAAATTTAAAAACAAAAATTCTCATTCGTCCATTTATCAAAAATGGAACGGATTATGGACTTAACTAAATACTGATAGCATATTGATAATTTTTTTTAAAAACATTATTGATTTATGTTTGAGATTAAATCATTACAAAATAATGTATTATAAATAGATCGATACATATATATATATAATGCAAGATATGGATATACACGAAAACCCCATAAACAATTAAATAAACAAAGTTGTTCGCGTCGTTTTGAAAGTGGGCCCCACAATTTCAACGTTCAACAACCAATATTAAACCCTCACAAAAGAACAATCCACGCGCGGGCTATATCTCACGCGCCGAAAACCCAAGACAAGGCGAATATATCGTGAGAAAATCGAGTAATTAATCGGGAAGCAACGAGACTGTCGCGCGTGAGAGGACAGCGAGATAATGAAAAAAAAAACAGGACGAGGGCTTCATCTTTCCTATCGGTCTGAAGCCAGCTGGCAAAAGAAATTCGCGCGCTAGATCCGAGCTGTGGGTCCTACTTCACGTGCCATCCATTGAGTTCAACGAGATTCCGGCACGTGTCCTCAGATGCGAGCACTTAAGACTCGTGTCACCATCTCGGTCATCTAAATAGGGACCATGCTTTTATGTATGAAATTTCGCACTCTATATCTTAAGCATCGATTTTCCAATTTACACTTTTATATATCTTTTTACATATTAGGATATAATTATGGGTCTTAAATTATTTTTTTATAGCATCATATTGTACATTAATTAATTATTTCCTTAAAACTATTTTTAAAATTTGTATTTTTGTCCCTAAAAAGTTAAGGTTTGATAATTTCTTGCAGAATTTGCTTTTTTCTCTTACTGTGATTTTTGGGATAGTTGTGATTTTTGGGATACAAAAAAAGGTAATGTTGTATTTTGTATTATTGGATAAATTTTGTACGAATATACTAAATATGATAATAAAAAAATAAAGCATAAAATTATTTATGGACGGAATTCCCATAATGTATTTTTCTTCAAAAAATCTCCCACGTTTTCAGACCTTTATTTCTTCATTCTTTTTACAACGCCTTCAAAACTCATTTTAAAATAGCAAAATAAATATAGAACTATTTTCAAATGGTGAAAATTTGTATTTATTATTACCCCTCGTGGCCTTGTGCGCATAGTAAATAAAAATAAAAAAAATCATGTTATTCATCTGAAACTATTAATTTAATTATTTAAAAATTCTACCCAACGGCTAAACGATGAACAAATCGACGACGGTTCTCCGCGCCACATCTACCACCGACCAACCTCGAAACTTCCAATTGGTTCATGCCATAATATTCTATTATATTCTCCATCAATTTTTATTTATATAATACTTGGAAAATTCCAAATGATAAAATCAAATACTACGGGGAATCGTACTTTGTACCGTCGCAAGTATTTTAGAAATTTTAAAATACATGCCCCCCTTTATACACAAATTCATATTCATAATGATTCGTACACATAAAAAAATTTATTATCGGATACATTAAATTTTTTCTTTGTAAACAAAAGTTTGTTCCTTTAGATAAATTTCAAAACGATGCCTTCAAAAGTATCAAGACCGAACTATGATATATATTATTCGAAATTAATATGTTCAATTTCATCGATTAAAGTTCGGCTGTTGTCGAGAGAATATCGTATACTACGGTTCAAATTTAAAATTATTTCCCGAAAATGAAAAAACAATTAGATTTTTTTTTTTTTTTTTTTTGGAGAATTTGTTCTCTGTTTGGAAAAAATGTATATGAATGAGTGATTTAAAGAAAACCATAGAGGAAAGAAATGAGAATATTCCTCAGCCACGCTACGTTGCCGCGCGTAATATTCCTCCGCACTAATAATCCTACGTGGCATTTCACACTATAAAAAATGGAAAGGGTATTTATGTAATTTCAGACGCCGGAAACTGGAAGTTAAGCCAGAGATAAATGCGGGTCCCTTATCCATTTATGCAACCGAACATTTATAAAAGCAGACTCACCCCGCAGGAAGAGTCTCATAGCAAACAATTTCAAATTCAAAATCCAAAAAAAAAAAAAAATCTTCTTCTTCTTCAATCTTCAATGGCGACGGGAAAAAGCTACTACGCAAGGCCCAGCTACCGCTTCCTCGCCACCGATCAGCCGTACCACGTCGGCGATTCGGGATTCGAATTCGAAGAATCCGATCTGTACTCCTCCGCCGGATCCGCTCTCTCCGAGTCGCCGGAGATCCGTCGCAAGCTCTCGACCTCCGGACGCATCGGGAAAAAACCGTCGGCTCGTCCAGCATCGGCTGCGGGAGCAGCGTCGTCGCTGCCGGTGAACGTGCCGGACTGGTCGAAGATTCTCAGGGAGGAGTACCGCGATAACCGCCGGGGAAGCGGAGATTACGATGACGGAGACGGAAACGATTGGTCGGACGCCGGGGGAGGGCGCGTGCCGCCGCACGAATTCCTGGCGAGGACGAGGATGGCGTCGTTCTCGGTGCACGAAGGTGTGGGGAGGACACTGAAAGGGAGGGATCTTAGTAGGGTTAGAAATGCAATTTTTGAAAAGATCGGGTTCGAGGATTAAGGTTTAAGAAATTTGAGGTCCCTCTTCTTCTTTTTTTGTTACAAATAATCAGTTGGGGAGGCATATTTATATATTTGCAGAAAATGCCCTCTTTTATGATATTTTCAGAAAATCTTACCATGTAATTTTTGGTTTTTTTTTACCTGAGATTGTGTCCTAATTCGCGGATGAGGAATAGATAATTTTGTTTTTTATGATATTATATCATGCGAATTTTATTACATTTTGTTTCCAAGTTGGGAACCTTGATGTTACAGAATAAAACTGAGGGGTCGAAAATGAATAAAAGAGGAAAGTTGGGCAGATGAACTAAAAGCATTTGATTGGGGTTTTGTGGGTGGGGTTGGTAAGTAAAGCAGAGGCTACAATCACATGACAGCGAGTGACCCTTTGTTTAGAGAATTATTCTCTCTCTCTTTTTTTTTTTAAGTCTTTATTAGCACACAAATCTTTATGTTTATTAATATTATTGTTCTATATTTGCTTTGTAAGATTAATAACACATCCTTTTTCAAATTAAATTAAGGTCGGGTTAATGGGTTTTATTCTATGTGATTCTCTTCTATCATTAGGCGGTATTGTGCTTTTTTCTATTAATATTTATATAGTTTGATTTAACACTAATCAATGAATATAAGAATCGAAATAGTTACGACCTACAATATATTTTTATTTGTGTGTGTGTATGTAAATGGTTATCTGATTTAGTTGGGAAAGAAAAAAGAAGTGAAAATAAGGATTATGTGATGGGTTTTCTTGTAGAGGGTTGCAAAGGGACATGCATTTCCTGTGATTAGAGGCTTATGTTTGGCCCCGAGGATAATTTTGTAATTATCCAAAACGTAATCCATGATTTGTTTTAACTAATCCTGTTTTATGTATTCCTGTAATTACTACATTTCTGTTATCTAATCCCATCTCGTATTTTTCCGTTACGCCTTTGCATTATTTTTTTTTTTATTCACATTCTTATATTCTGGTTAACATTTGGTTTGTGAATCGGGTCGGCTCGATCCAAATTCACAATTGATTTAGTGGGTTCGAACCGGATTTCGGGTTTCGAATCTAAATTGACACTGTGTGAATTGGAGCATTCATATGTTAGTATAATATTTATGTAAGACAAATGATTTCAATAATGATCAAATATGGACAAACTTTAAATGGTTCATTTATTTTCAGAACTATTTGTGATATAGTATATGATTCAGGAAAGACTTAACATACATTGTTTCATAAATATCACGGTCAAAGTTAGACCAGACCTCATCTCTCACCATATTCCAAACTTTTCTTTTTTATTTTATGTTTAGTCTTTTTTTGGAATTTAGTTTAATTAACCGAGTGTTAAAAAAATAAAATCCATTCAACCATTTATATATTATCCGACAAAAAAAAAAGATTTAAAATATTTATCTGCAGATATTCTCGGGTTATACGTTAAATCTGCATTAGATTCGTCACCCGGATTATATATCCTCATCATGAATTTCAGTTGAAACTCTGTTTTTTTTTGTAATAATTATATTTATTTTATTTTATTTTATCAATTACAATCTCATTTTTTATTAAAAATATTTTAATTCTAATTTTCTAACATTTAATCAGGTACTGTATGATTTCATTCTATTGAAAATAATTAGATACGACTGTACTGAAAAGTATAATTTGATATATTCTGCTTAAAACCATAAGTTTCCATATTCCCGATAATGGGTTTGGAATTTGCTGGGAAAGGCGGGAAGATACAAAACTGATGGGCTGGTGGCGGAGGACATTTTTGTCATTTTCGTCTGTTTTTAGCCACTTATGGATTAATTGATTATTCGCCCCAATTTGCAAATATTTGCGTTAAGATCAACAAAAATAAGCTTGCAAGCAAATAATAACGGGATAATTGCATTTTTTTGTCTAATTAAAGAAAACATTAAAGCAAGTAGCCTGATTAATTAGGGCATTTATGACGAAATTCGATGTGATGATCAATCGTGGGTCCCACAGAGGTCGAGTCGAGTGTCGTTTTATGTGCAACGGCCAGTCGTTTTGGTCCAACCAATGGTCCCTTGTGCTCCTCTCAATGGCGACGAGAGAGAGAATGTACATTGTAGATATAATATGCCTTTTTAGGTAACATCGACCCTCTCCTTATTCTAGATTTTTTCTTCTTCTTATGCTCTATATTCCATCTCAATTATTGTTGTATTTTTTTTTATTTTTCAAATAAAATAAATACATATTCAAAAAATATATATTAAATAATATCTAAAAAATCATTAATTTTAATTATCAAAGAATTTTTTAAAGTATGAGATTATTCTATAAATAATGATTTTAATTATTCGAATTTATTGGTGAATACAACTAAATATCATTGGAAATACGCATGATGATTCGATATTTTTTTTAGTGTTATAAACATCCTTTATTTTAAAATGGTGTGAAATTCGATTGAAAAAAATGACGTCTAAAACGGCATGCAACTAAACAAGATGTTTTTTTTTTGGGGGTGAAAGATAAAAAAACAAAATGTTTCTTTTAGAGGTTGCCACTAATCGGTTTCAATACCAAACTCCAAACTTTGTAGAAAATCCTTATTGTACAAAAGTATATATTATGCTCTATAAATGTTATATATATAGGTGGTCGATATGGGATAAAATTCTATTTGATGATCTATTTGGTAATCTATACTATCAGACATTATCATTTATTAATATGGGATACTTTCAAAATATACGATTAGAAAGAATATAAAAATATATATATATCAATTTAACTTTTATATTTTATCACAAGTATCATATTCTATTATAAGGTGTTGGATAAGAATTATAAAATAAAATAAAAAAGTAGATCTGATGGATTATTGCAACACAGTTTGGGCACACAAAAAACCTCGTGACTCTTTGAAATACTTTCCTATAACTTTATTATTATTATCATTGTTATTATTATTATTGTTGATTGATTGAAATATGTTGTAATTTATTTGCATTTGGGTATATGTTTTGTTTGTATATGTTGAAGATTAATTTAGTTAATTAATTAAGATAATAATATTAATTACGTCAATGATTGCATTATTTGAGTCTGAGAAGCCAAGGTTCGGCTCTTAGAGGCTCATAAGGCCAGATTTTACAAAGAAAGCGTAGGTGACGTATGACTATGATCCATCGGTCGCATTTATTACATTGGATAAGGCCAAATAATAAAATTTCCATATTCAATCATTGGCCTCACCCACCACAAAATTCACATATAGTGAATATATCATATAAAATTCAATATATAATATGTTACCAACTATTTATATGACATACGAGTCTGTGGGTTAATAAGGCCAATTTTTACAAAGAAAGGTGACGTGTGACTATGATCTAATGGCCGCATATTCGTTACATTGGATAAGCCAAAATGATAAAATTTTCATATTCAGCCATTGGTCTCACCCGCCACAAAATCCACAAAACAGTTAACATATCATATAAAATTCAATATATAATATGTTACAAATCATTTCTATGTCGTCGTTTGGTTCATTTCTTATATTCATTTAATGAGTGCATGCATACTTTTAGAAATTAGTGGAATCTAAAATGAATCCAATATATTTTCTTAACAGTAGATATAAGTGATTCAACTCAACTGTCTTATATTACCCTTTAAAAATTTGGAGAATACGATTCTTTTTTTTAAAATTCTTTTTTTTGGTAATACGATGAACTATATTATACGAAGGCTAGCCGAGTTTTAGTTGGTTTATAAATCAATTATGTTTTATATAACAAGATGAATGAAACACTACATATATATATATATATAAAAACACTACATATATACAAGACTTAGATATTCTTTGGAGAATGATTAGGTTGGAACATCGACATATATAATTTATATAAAACTATTGAAAATTAATATTAGTTTTATATAATATCCGATAAGAAACTTTTCTCCCTCCATCTCTACGTAGACTCTTTTTGAAAAATGCTCTTGTTAGCTGTTTGTTAATGGTAAATTGGTAATATATATTCTAATGTAATAATCAATTAACTCGGTCAACCCATGAGGCGTTGACCGATGTATGAAGCCCACGGCCCAAAACAAACGAGCCACGTTACCAATCATTTCCAACAAAAGGCCCATAGAAAAGCCCAAGACATCGAAACTGTATAGGTGTGTATATATACATGTGAACAGTTTTCAAACGATAATATTATTTATGTATTTAGAATGTACACATAATATTGTATTAGATCATCCATGTCACCATGTGTATGTTTCACCATCATCATTAATTACACTTTTCCCTAACATACTTTCTAAGCTTACGTACGGTCCTTTGCATATTTTATATATTGTGTGTGTACGGTGAAATAAATACGGTTCTATAATTTTATATAAAATATACGGTTCTATAAATATGTCTTCCAAATAATCTTTGCATAGATTTTGAAAATTCGAATATGGAATCCAAAATTTCTTTTGGACTGTAAAATGGAATTCTACTCCAAGTGTTTTTCTCAAAAACGTTCGTTCATTTATATATTTACTTTTTACCAAAAACAATATATGGTTATATATATATATATATATTGGGTGTGTATGTATATCAAACCAAACCTAGGTTTACGCCTGCATTAAACTAAAAAATCTTTGCCTCCAACAATCATAGGGTTTTACCCTACTATTATCCAATAAATCATATGCTCAAAATGGTCCATATTTGGTCCGGTGAACCTTTTCATCATTCTTCTCAATATATATATATATATATATATATATATATATATATATATATATATATATACCTAAACACACAACCCTATATATATATATATATATATATATAT